TTCGACAGTGAACCCAGCACATGCGTCTGGCTCTTCGGCAAGACTCGATCCACTGCTAATCTGCATTTAACACATGTGGCTAGAAGAAGGAGGGATGGAGAAAAGGCAGGAATGGAAGTGTTGGATGAGAATAGATCCACAATGATGTCTTCATTTGTCAAGGGTGGGAAGAAATATGGGTGGAGGAAGTTTGGTGTATGTTCCTCTTTTTTGGCAATAACCCTTAGGGGTCTTCCTTTTAAGCCGCGTGCCTCCTGAGGCAATGTAAGGCAGATGTAACCGGCGCACACACTTTCATAATCATTTTCAAGAGAAAATACCAGCGCTGATTCCCTGTTTCCTTCAGGACAAATGTGGAAAAATGAGATAAGTGTTGCTTTCTCTCTCCAGGCACCACAGGAGGGGAACTGCAGGTATTTGAATCAGAAAATGGCCCTGAATGTCTCTCACACTCATATCGGCATGGATGATTCGGTTATTCTACCACAATAAATACTAGCTGCTTCGCATATGGTAGGACCGTGTGAGCTGCTGAAATGCAATTTCGCTCTTCAAAAATGGAAGTTGGAGTGTGATAAAGAGTTTCTTAGTGTGTTGTGTTGAATGCTTTTGGTCGGTTTAAGAGGGACAGGAGGGAAGTTGTTATACAATTTGAACCTTAATAATTTCACCAAGTGGTCATGATAGTAAGAAAGCTGAATATACAGTGTGGCTGCACCAAATTCTTTGCTGTTTAAAATTGAGTCATCCAGTTGTTGAGTTGGAGTCTGTCATGTTGTTCATGTGCTCCAGTGTGTTAAGTTGTAACGTGTGATTATATTTTATGCCAATATTATTTCTTTATGGATAAAAACAAAAATAAAGTTAAATGAATATGTATGCATACTAACGAGGTTATTAAAAATACCCAATTATGCTTATCCATGCATAGCTCTATTTGACAAAACTATAAAATAATAATAATAATAATAATAATAATAATGGTTAGTTTATTTTTATAGCACATTTTTACAACACATGCTGCCCAAAGTGCTGAACACAATCAATACTAATTAAAATAAGTCCTACAGATGTTACTACTTCAATGTGTTCCTTGTGCCGCCATTCATACCGCGGCGACGGCGGTACTTGATGCGCCAGCAGCATTTGACCGCTGGGTGGCACTTTAACAACAGATATTCAGCTTTGCCTTTTCACAATGCTAAACAGACTGTTCTGTAGGCGTAGCTTACTGTATGTGATGTGATGTGTTCAATTAAAATATAATTTTAATTTAGTTTTTCTGGTAATAGACATGCTCTTACACTATACTATGCTGTAGAAAAGATACATGGTGAGAAGTCAAAAAGCAAATATAAGAATTAAGTTATTAGCCTTCAGTGCCCGATTAAATTGCGTTGGGGTGAAAATAATGTTTTGATTTCTTTGACTATCATGGCAATGTTATTATCTCAAATCTTAAACGTGCGCATATGAAAAACAGCAAAATAATATAGATTATCCTGCCGGTAGAGCACATCACCTCACAGTTGTGAGCTTGCGATCACCTCAACTTACATTTAAAATTTGTTTACCTGGTTTATTGTAAACTTTTTAAGTGCAAAGAGGATTCGTTTTGGAAAATAGAATTGAAGAAATGAAAGACAACTAAAATGAAAGCACAAACATTCAGTACAAATAAGTAGTCTTAAATAAATAAATAAATAAATAAATAAATAAATAAATAAATAAAGCAGTCTTTTAGTCTAAATATAGAGAGATGTAGTGTTTGCTATTTGCATAGGACTAAGACAAGACATTTTCATTTATGTTTTTAATTTACGTTTTTATTTACATTTTCGTTGTTGATTATATTTTACTATCTCATTTTATGTTTCATTTATAGTACATAATAATAAACCAATAATGAAAATAAATGAATAATGAAAATAGGACAAAAATTAAGTCTGGCAGGTTTATTTTTAATAATTTAGTTTCAGTTCCGTTTTGTTGTTTTAAAACGTCAATGTTCTGCTTTAAAGTATAACTGTTGTTTTGTTTTGTTTTTTTTACTTAATGGCTCAGTATGTTTTGTATTTTAATTTCATATTCAGTCACCTTGCATATGCGTGTGAAATATAATGCCGCATAATCGCGGAAAAAGAAGAAAAGGCTGTCAGTTAAAGCTAATTAATCAAAATAAGCGATATTAAAATGTAGCATTCATGTTAATACAGGCAGAGTGTGAACAAACTCAAGGCTAAGATATGCGCTTGCCTTTTAATACATTTAAAAATATTTGCGGCCTTTTATAGGCAACAGGCAACTATGGTGTATAATAATGTTTTTTTTTCTTCTTTTTTTGTATGGTAAAGGACAATGCACATTATGTTATTGATGTAAACTTAGGCATCACATACATAACAATTAAAAAATAAGACAGACCCCTTAACATTAAAAAGGTTCAAATGCTAAAGAGCAAAGGTGCTGTTTCAGAAGCTTTTTTAAAAAAAGATAGAGTTGAAGCGTGTCTAATGTGGCATGGAAGTTTAACAGCAAAAGCCCGACCTCCACCACTTTACTGACACCAGGACCTTGGTACAGAAAGAATAAACTGATCAGAAGACCTTAGTGACATACTAGGATTATATACATATAGGGGATCTGATAAGTAATGTGGTGCCAGACCATTTAAGGATTTAAAAACAAAAATTAATCAAATTTAAAATTGTAATTAAAATCAATTCATGACCTAACAGGCAGCCAGCCCAGAGAAAAAAAGAACTAGGGATAAGTTCTCATACCTGAAGAGTCCCTGTCAGAAGTCTCGCAGCCGCAATTTGGGCTATTTGCAATCTATTCAGCGCATTTTGACCAATACCCACACACCAAGAGTCAAGTCTTCTCTAAATAAAAGCATGGATCTCCTTCTCAAGGTCATTAAAAGAGAGAAATGACTTCACTTTTGCCACAAGTCGTAAATGGAAAAAACTGGATTTAACAGCTGAATTTACTTGTTTGTTAAATTTCATTATCGAACTAAACCCTAGGTTTCTAACAACAGGTTTCTGATAAGCTGATAGCTCACCAAAACCTAATAATTCCAAAGGGGCAGGATCCCCAAAAAAGACCAGCTCAGTTTTTCTTTATTGAAATTTTACAAATTTTGTCATCTTAGAATTATAAGGTTCTTTCTGAAATTTTTGTCAAAATTGAGTTATTAACATACTCTTATTAAATGACAACTTATTTACATTATGGGATGTTTTTTATAAGTTGTTTACTTATAAAATGTTTTACTTGTAAGACTTTTTATTTAAAAAACAAATGTTACACAGATACTGTTTGCTTTGAAATGCAAAAACTTTGAAGCTCAATATCTCAAAATCATTCCGAACGCAGATAGAACCTTAGAATACCAAGGTGACGATTTGACAACAGACATCTCATAAGACATCTTATATGGGAGTCAAGGTGTTAGATTTTGCTGTATTTGGCTTAACCGTTCTTGGGGGGCTCGCCAATGTATTAGATTACTCTAACACATAAAATAAGTAAGCTGACCAAAGTTCTTACGGAGAGAAGACTTTATTGAAGACAATGAATAGTGCAGTTCCTCAGCATTGATGTTAACCCGTCGGTCTTCAAGAACTTAACTCAAAGTACTGTCTGTGAGACAGTACTTTATATTAGCATCAAACAAACCATTCTGTTTACGAAGCTCAGCAGGACCCTCTTAAGATGTTTCAGCTGTTGTTTTGCTAATACCCATTGAGATTGTAAAACGGTCATTTAGTTCACACCTATCAGTTTGTGGGGGTCGAGGCACAGGTCACCCCATCATATCACATCAGAGTTTAATCAATGTAAATGCAAGTGAACTAAAATGCACATAATCTTTCAATGGCCATGTCTTTGGACTGTGGTGAAGAAAATGCAGACAGAAACGGCAACTAGCCCAGCCGGGACTCGAAACAGCGGCCTTCTTGCTATAAAGTGACAGCACTAACCCCTGAGCCACCATAACAATAATTACTTTATTATGTATTAACTCTTCTGAAGTTACAACACTGATATTTCGTTGTCAAAAGTTAAAGTCTGAAAAGATTGCTGCTTTTGAAGATTTTAAAAATGCAAAAAATTTCAAAAAGACAACAACTGTCATTAGTATTTTAAAACAAAATAGAATTGAATGATGTAATAAAACATGCGATTTTACTCAAGCACATACTTATCAATCATACATTTTCAAGTGTTTTATTTCCTTTTTTGTCGCTTTTTTCTTCTTTGTCGTTTTGATGTACTGTATGAGACAATAACAGATGTGGTGCAAAATATCTTGGTCATGTTTTCATATTTCTCTATTATTTACCATAGTTTTAACCTTAAATATATATAACCCTGTTAAATATATATAACCCTGTTTAGGATATTATAGGAATCATGTTTGTGGCAGATTTTATGTTGATATTTGTTATATTATATCATTTGATTATCTCATACATGATTGTTATATAAGGAATGCTGTAGAATACACATATTTTATAACAAAGAAAAGTAAAGAAAAAGAAAAGTGTCATGTTAGGGTAAAATAGGCATTATTTCTTTAGAATAAGGATTTTAAATGACAGTATTTGCAGAATTGCATAGCAATTATCATGCAAACATTCACATTTATATAATTATATCTAATTTATTAATTGGTAGATTATTTTTTATCTATATTCTTATAATCATATTGTATTACTTCTTACTTGTTTTTAATGTGTTGTCTATTCTCTTTATTGTCTGCATTGTTTTGAGTTCTGTTATCTTAATTTTTATGTATACAGACTATGTATGTAATAGATTTTCATTGAAAACTCCTGTTCAAATCAAATTCTTTGTGTGGATTATCACACAGCAATAAATCCCATTCTGACACTGATTCAGAAAATTAGTACGAAACATGAATTAAGTTTTATCCAACAAATATCATGCATGCAGGAAGCCTCAACCTCACCCATTGCCTGTATTTCCAGTTCTGTGCAGATGTTGTGGAGCAGTTGGATGCGTTTCTCCCACTGGCTGTGGCTTTCAGTGAGGATGTCCTGCTGGCTGTGTGCTCCAGCTATGTAGAGGTGTGCGGCCGTGTGACCTCCTCTCTTCTGGTCAGACTAGAGGAGAGGGCATGGGAAGTGCCAACCTCAGCTCCCCTCAAGAACCTGCCCGTTCTAATGGCCACCAGTGTCTTCATCCACCAGACACTCAGCTACTATGAAAGCCAACTCAGAGATGTCTCACGCATGTGAGTAAAAGAACCAAAATAAATTTATGTTTATACATTTTTAAGTTATACTTTGATTCAGGTTAAGTTTTGAATTAATATTATTTATTTATTTTTTATATATCCCAAATGATGTTTAACAGAGCAAGGAAATTTTCACCGTATGTCTGATATACAGTTGAAGAAAGAATTATTAGCCTCCCTTAATTATTAGTCCACTTGTTTATGTTTTTCCCATTGTCTGTTTAACAAAGAGCAGATTTTTTTAACACATTTCTAAACATAATAGTTTTAATAACTAATTTCTAATAATGGATTTATTTTACCTTTACCATCATGACTGTAAATAATATTTTACTAGATATTATTCAAGACACTTCTAGACACCTTAACGTGACATTTAAAGGGTTAACTAGGTTAATTAGGTTAACTAGGCAGGTTAGGGTAATTAGGCAAGTTATTGTATAACCATGATTTGTTCTGTAGACAATCGAAAAAAATATATATATATATCTTAAAGGGGCTAATAATTTTGTCCATAAAATGGTGTTTAAAAAATTAAAAGCTGCTTTTATTCTAGCCAAAATAAAATAAATAAGACTTTCTCCAAAAGAAAAAATATTATCAGACATAATGTGAAAATTTCCTTGCTCTGTTAAACATCATTTGGGAAATATTTAAAAAAAAAAGAAAAAAAACGAAGGGGGCTAATAATTCTGAGTTAAACTGTATGTGTGTATATATATATATATATATATATATATATATATATGGGGAAAGTCTTATTCGTTTTATTTAGACTTGAATAAAAGCAGTTTTACAGTAAAAAAAAAAAAAAAAAAACATTTTTAGGGTCAAAATTATTAGCCCCTTTATGCTCTCTCTATATATATTGATTATCCTAACCTTCCTAGTTAACCTAATTAACCTAGTTAAGCTCCTAAATGTCACTTTAAGCTTTAAATGGAGAGAACATTTTTAAACATATGAGTTTTATTAACTTGTTTCTAATAACTAATTTATTTAATCTTTGCCCTGAAGACAGTAAATAATATTTGACTAGATATTTTCAAAACACTTCTATACAGCTTAAAGTGACATTTAAAGGCTTAACTAGGTTAATAAGGTTAACTAGGCAGGTTAGGGTAATTAGGCAAGTTATTGTATAACAATGGTTTGTTCTGTAGACTATCAAAAAAAAATTTAACTTAAAGGGGCTAATAATTTTGACCTTAAAAATGTGTTAAAAAAACTGTTTTTATTGTAGCCTAAATAAAACAAGTCTTTCCCCAGAAGAAAAAAAAAATATTATCAGACACACTGTAAAAATTGCCTTGCTCTGTTAAACATAATTTGAGAAATATTTAAAAAAGAAAAAAAAAATCAAAGGGGGGCTAATAATTTTGACTTCAACTTTATATATATTGCTTATTTTTATTTTTTTTGTACGCACAGAGTTTATGGAGGTTTGTACTCTGATACAAGTAGTATTTGGAATTTGGAATTTTAGTCTTAGATTAAAATATCTTATTTATTTGTTAAATGTATAAACACTAAATTAATACCCTAATGTGAGGGCTAATCATATGTTCACCAATAATACAAAAGTTATAGAAAAAGAAAGGAAAAAAGACAGAAAGAAAGAATAATATAATTAATAAAATAAATCATTAATAAATATTACATTTACTTTTTGCATTTTTACGTGTACTTTGTTTATTAATTTATTTAACAGTTTTGCCAAAAAGGTCCAATAGGGTATATACAGAAGCATCCAGAAGGACTTTTAATTTGACAGTAACCTGGGTCAAACGCTTCCAGTAAACTGTATGCTGTAGCAAAATTGTGTTTAAGATCTGTTTTCTTTCAAAATCAAGAATCTTCACAGCCTAATTGATGTACCCTATAAAGTGGGTGTCAGAATGCACAATAATCACTCATTAAATTAAATTTTCTGTGCCATGTCTTTAAAGTATTTAAATGTATTTTACTCCAGTATTTCCAATGGAGTTTCTGCACTTACCTGCTAATCTGGACGTGCGTGTGCGAGCAAACGGCTTTTCATCTTGGTTTAGCTTCAACAACTAAATGAATGCTGAAGTCTATTCAACTGATTGTATTTTAATTACATTACAACATCGATGCAGTAAAAGCAACGGTATAAAATTCAAAAAGTCACATTAACCGTTCACCAGAACTTTATTGTTATGGGAAGAAACACTAGCTCTGCATATACCCTATTATACCTAATTTGATTTAAACAGAAACGTTCACATATTTTTTTTTCTAGAATTATTTTTTTTAAGTTGAAAACTAACACTTAATTTAATGAAATAAAAAAAATGGAAATAAATGACAAAGTAAAACAACATTCTGCCTTAAATTATTAAGTGAAATCAAATTAACTTTACAAGTCATTTAACTTTCATTAATTTAACTGAAGAAAGTTTATACTTTTGTATAACTTAAGTTTGAACATAATATATTTATTCAAATAGGAAATATGAAATTGTGTCTTATCATGACTTTTTGATCTTTATTTTAAGTGTATGTTTCAGCTTAAAATCCTTCATCAAGTTGTTATTTGCATTAAATACCATTGTCATTTAAATGAGGTGTGTCATAAATGTGAAAATAGTCAGGAAATTAAACAAACAATACTTATATGGCCCCAAGTAGGATTCTGATTCAGATATAACACTAGATATTTAGAAAAAAAAGGCTACAAAATAAAAAATGTAACTAAATTTTACCATGCTTCTGTAGTGAATGTAATGTAAAGAGTGTAAAGCCTGATCCCTTTTTTTTTTTTTTTGATAATTTCATAAATATCTTCATGCATGATAAAACAGGAATATAAAATGTTTTACATAAAAAGAAAATCTCAGTTTCGCATTTGACCTGTGCATGTGTACATAAACTGAAATGTATTTGGAGAAGCTGAGCATTGCTAAAGTTCCCCGATTTATAGTACACTTTATCAAGCCCAGGTTTTTCCAGGCCAGGCAGCCTGTCATCCGGATGCCAGATTTACTAAAATGCTGTAATTGGATTGTAAAGAACCCGGAGTGAGACGCACACGAGCTGGTGGGCTTTGACAGAACTCTTCACCTGCGTGTTTGTAAGGTTATTTAGCCAAGAATGAGAGACAGAAAGGGTCTGTATGTGTGGCTTTGCACTTGAAAAGAGCGAGTGAGAAACATTCGGGGAGGAAGAAGGAGGTGTTGCATGATTGACAGGTAATAATCGGAGCCATTTGCTGATATTAATCACTTAGTGGCTCTTTGACCTGTAAAGTACACCGCTTTGCCGTAAACCTGGCTTTGTGTCTTTGATGTGTCCAACCGCAGGCCTCTCACCCTGCTGCCCGTTCAGAGAAGTCAGGATGTGATGGCAGCTCTGCACGATCACCTCACCAGCTACTGCACCAATGTGTGTGCCACAAGCATACTGCAGGATGCCGAAAGCCACTACTGGAGTGACCCCAATCCTTTTTACGAGGTACAGATGGCTGCAGCTTTACTGGCTGTATTTTAGAAATAGTTCATGTAACAAGGTGGGTAGTACTGCAGTATGTTTACTTGGTTAAACTTACTTAAGCCATTATTATTATTATTATTATTATTATTATTATTATTATTATTATTATCATTATTATTATTATTATTATTATTATTATTATTATTATTATTATTATTATTATTATTATTATTATCATTATTATTATTATTATTATTATTATTATTATTATTATTATCATTATCATTATTATTATTATTATTATTATTATTATTATTATTATTATTGTTATTATTATTTACTTTTTGAGTAATTATAACTGGCTATACTTACACACCTATTAAGTTTAAGCCCAAAGCCCAACATTATTTTTAACCAATGCAAATTTTGACTTAAAGTTTTTTTTTTGGAGAGGAAATGACACAGGCTTCTCCTTAAATTTTTTTTTTCATGGACGAAAATATTGTCATGTACGAAAGTGAAGTGCAGGATGGCGGGGCGTTGGATGGCGGAGGGGTGAAGAGTGAAAAGTAAAAAGTGTTGGGGAGTCTAAATTGATAAATAATGCATAAATAAAAAGTTAAAATTTAAAATACCTAAATGAAATATTTATGATAAAAAAAAAAAAAAACTAGGCTAATTATTGCATTTTAATTATACATTTAATGTAGGTTATAGAAAGTAAAAGTAGCCACACCCGAAACCTAAAATGCCCCTTGAAAACTCATATTCATAACGCAGTATTCATAAAACTAATTAAAATATTATTATTTTTTTTTTTCTGAGCTAGGCTAAATCTCATTCAATCATTTAATTTCTGCTGCGTCTCAACAGTTACTAAAATAACAAAATGAACGATTACACTTCAACCGGCCTAAAGTTTATGCAAACGATCATGTGCGCGCAAGTAATAGTCTGTTATACAACAAGTAGTCTGATTAAAAAAATAACTCTAATATTTAAGTTTCCAGCAGTGATAACAAGAATGAAAATTATTTTGGTTCAGAAAAGAAATACTTCAACAAGCGACAAAAGTCTATATAGCCAATCAGAAAATAAATAATAAATAAAATATTTATTAATAAATTATTCAAATAAATGAAAATAAATATATATATGTTAAAATAATAAATAAAATATGCACAGACACAGTAAAATAACAAATGACTGCTTGATATTTTAACATGCAGACATAATGTATGAGAAAATGTATTGCATAATTAAAAGTCATAGAAAAAAAAAACAGCAACGCAACTATGAATAAAAAGCCCGTCTTACAATTTAACCATTTTATGTTTACCCTTTTTTCGACAGAAATAAGGGATAGAATCTTACTTCATCCGACTTTATACAGAACACATGTCATCCCTGCTCTCATCCTCTAGTTAGTCTTTGGTCAAGCTCATGGATCGCTGGTTTACATTTAGAAATACAAGCGCATCCACGTGAGAGGGATGCAGGTTGCTCTTTGTCTTGTTACAGTGTTGCCGGCCAAAGTAAATTTCTTTCACTTCGTGTGCTGGTGGCAGTGATAGCATGAAATGATTTTGCTAGCTTGGATTGTAGAGGAAACTGATGTTTATTACATTAAATTGTGTTTCCTATAGGATTTTTCCAGCTGTGGCGGCAGGCTTTTTTTATACAGATCTAACACCTTTGGCGCTATTTCAATCTCTTTGCTTGCGCGCAAAATTATTAAGATAAAGTCATAATATGCAGAGCAATAGACCTTTATCTATAAAGTATACTTATTGAAACTTTTAATCTAACTGAAAGCTGGCCTCACGCATCACGCACCTGTCAGTCAGTCAGTCAGCACGTAACCTTTAAAGGTTAAACAAATGATGCACACACAGTAAAGTTTGCGCTGTTATAATTCACACATCTTTTAATACATTTTGGTGCGATTATAACCAGCTAGTAAAAAACCCGACTGAATGTTTTGAATGGGAAGCTGTAATGTTTTTTGGTGTGGCGCCCTGCCACGGAAGAATTAATGTAGCGGAAACCATGTAACTACCATTCGAGAGGATTCCCTGCGGTGGTAATGTTGAGAATGTAAATAATATTGAATTTAATCCTCAGTTGTAGTTGGAAGCTTTAACCTTAGATCGTGATGTTTGTTGGATACATTTGTCCTTTTGATGTCATATATGGTAAATACACGCTCGAGTAGTCGATTGCTTCTGAGAGCGCCGACTAGTGGTTGAAGTAGTCGATCGCTCAACTAGTTCGCTAGTCTATGCAAGCCCTAATGGCAACCCCTGATAAAGCAGGCAATAAGCCAAAGGAAAGTAAGTGAGTGAAGGAAATACACTCAAAACATGACTTTTGCTGCTTATTAAAACTTATTTAAAATGAGTTGAAACATCACAATTCTTAATGTTGTTTTGGAACAACTTATTTGTTTTTTGTTTAATCCACCCAAATTTGTAAACATGATTAGGTTAATTTAAGCAATTTGTGTTTAATCAGTTTGTGTTCCATCATTTTACAGTGTATTTATGATGATTATTTTACTATTACTTAAATATATATTTTTATAAGTGTTTTTACTTGTTTTTTAGTATGATTTTTAGCTGCTCTACCCACCTCTGGTTACAAGTCTGTGTGTTTAAGGGCATTTCTTTTGGTTATTTGAACACAAAACATCCCGTATGTTTAGTGCACTCAAGGACAAAGCTGTGATTAAGTCACATGGCATATTCACATTCAAAACATTAGTACATCTGTACTGAAATGCAGTGACATTGAGTATTAAATGATAAATTGTGCTATTGTACTCTTAAGTAGGCTTCTTCTTCAAGTGGATTCGCATGACGCTGTTGAGCGTTGTCCTTGACTATTTAGTTGACTTCTCTTTGACTGTTCTGAAAGGCATCAGGTGTGTACAGTACATCCGCACTCAATCCTTAAACACACTGCCAGGCTGTAGAGAATGCTGTATATGAATGCATTCTAAACACATTACTCATTTAAATGCTGGAGGATGTTGTGTGTATTTGTAAGCAAGGGTTGACTGAGGTTGTTATCCATCTATCCATTCATTCATCCATCCATCCATCCATCCATCCATCCATCCATCCATCCATCCATCCATCCATCCATCCATCTATCTATCGATGAGTAAATAAAAATAACAAAAAGTCTCTGCTCTGCCATTGTTTCTGTCTGTCTGTGATGACAGGCGATTTGCGAATGAACCGTTAGTTTTAACTGGATCTTCTTAATGAACTGGTCGAACCAGTTCATTAATTTGAAAGGAGTTGTCATAAAACGGTTTGCATCCTCACTACTGACATACCGGATACCCCCTCTTACTTTAAATAAACCAGTATCCTGAGTTATTCAGTTACTACAACAGTACACTGACTCATCTGCTGTGAAAAAAAGAGATCTGACGATGATGATAAGAAGTGCGAGCCATCTGAATGTTCCCTCGCAGCACACTCTCTCATTGAGTGTGTGATTCAACCTGATTAAGATAATGTTTATTCCACAATATCATTTAGTAAAAGCCAATTAAGCAATAGCGTGTTTCACACATACAGACCTTTACGTAAAATTACTGGCAATTTTGCGGAAAGGTCTGTATGTGTGAAAATACCGGTGAATTCATTTTTCACATCTTGAACACGCTGACATGAGACATCTACTTTAAGAACAAAAAAATTAAGATGCATTTTCATCAGCGCGGTTTATGAAAATATGAAAGAATAATATGAATATTTTTCCAGACACATTTAGCTGCAAGATGTTAGTCAGATAATGTTTCTATGTTCCTTCTTAATGCCAACTGTGTCAAAAATTATCGATAAACTTTTTATGATAACCCACTGTTTGTTTGCCTTTAAAGGGGAAATTAAGCACTCAGTCAAGTTTACATTATTTTGTTCATTGGATTACACTTTAATGAAAAAATATTAAACAAACTTGATTAATGTAAGCATTTAGTAGAAAACGGCGTGTTTTACTATAGATTTCAGACATAGGGCGCAGCCATCTTGCAATGTCAAAAGTGCACCCATAAAGCTATTTTTCCCTTGTTTTTACACATGAAAAAATTGTGGCTAAGAAATAGTTATTTGTTGTGGTCAGAGATAAATTTGTTAAATCTTTAATATTGAGCCCTGAAAAGTTGTGAAATAAAAACTGATTGCATTGTGGCACAGCCCATTTACTCATGCACACTGAGCAAGCTAATACACAACGCACACAAGAAGTTAAATAAATGAGAAGGCATGTGGACATAATACAATATCTAAATCAAGTCATATAGCATGTCAATGTCAAATTTAAGCAAAATATATTTTCCCAACAAGAAAATTGTAGCTAGTGAAAATGCAGAGTGGCTAGTAATGTTGAAAATCTACTAGCCACAGTGGCTGATGATAAAAAAGTTAATGTCAAGCCCTGATAATTATTTAAAAAAAAAAAAATAATAATAATAATAATTATTATTATTATTATTATTATTATTTTCTTTTTTTAAGCTAAATAGTATTTTAAATTTATTGCTCAATTTTTTTTTTCTCAAACTGGCCTATCTTCTAGTCTTTTCAATGGCCAGTGCAATGCCCTGTGGCAGCATTCGTATCAACCATCTGTATGTTGCTTGAGCCTTCACCCTCCCTCCATATGATACCGGCGCACATAAGCGTTCTCACAGATGCGTATACACACATATCCGCCGGCTGCGGGTTGTGCGGCAGACTGGCCTGCTGTGTGCAGGTGTTCGGCTGGCTCTGTTGACCTGTATCCCCTTCCTCTCTCTTTCTGTCTTCCATTCACCCCTCCATTTCACTTCCTCCCAAGCAAACGCCAAAGGGCCCGAGCGCTTCCAGAGGCCCCGTCGCATACACTAAATCCCTGGGTCCGGACATGTGCTCGTGCCCCTGTGTGTCTCTTACTATGGTTGACTTAACGGAGGCTCACTGGTGGACCACGTCCCAGCTCTCATTAGGAGATGTAGTACATGCTTGTTAATAATCTCTCTTTGGTCACACTTTGAACTCCTAATGCTGCTTCCTCTTTGCCTGAAAGTAATTAGCCTCTTAGGAAACACAGGCTCTTCTCGTCCCTTTTTTATCATTTTCGCCTTTTTCGAATTGTGTTGGCCTTTCTTTCCTCTCTGTTAGTCTCAGTCATACATTTATAAGCATCTCTGCAATAGTTTGGTAGTTTCACTTCAATTAAATTCAATGCTTAATTTAAAATCTAAAACTTTATTATCCCTAAAGGTGTTCGAAAATTGTCTTTAGATAGAGGCTCACACACAACAATACGAATACAGTAAATTTAAATATTCAAGCAGAAAAACATTTAGAAATACACATTTCCTATAAACTGTCAAGATTCTTTGTTTACCTGTCATATGTTTCATGTGCTTTCTGTAATCTAATGTGATTCCTTTGTTCAGTTTTCCCGCCATTTCGTTCGTTTCAGTAATTCCACTATGCCTTGTTTCTAGTCTAAATTTTTAACAATTCTTATATCAAAAATATTGTCTTGTTTTGAGAAATATTATGCCAAAGTTTAGTGATTTTTTCCCCTCAAAACAAGCTAAATAATCTGCCAATGGAGTAAGCAAACTAATCTTGTTTTTCCTTTAGACATAAGATTATTTGTGTAACCCATTGGCAAATAGTTTAGCTTGTTCAAAAAGATTCAATAAGATTATATATATATATATATATATATATATATATATATATATATATATATATATATATATTTATTTTATTATTATTTTTTTTTATTTATAATACACAAGGGCTACACAATAAATGAAGACTTCAGATGCAAAACCCTCTAAATCCATCTGACCTCTTTTCTTGTAAATATGCATTCTCTATCAGGCTCCTCTGATTAGTTTCTGAAGTTTCATTTTTTATGTAATTGATGAGATTATTAGCTGGTAAATAAAATAAGTTTTTTTTTTTTTTTTAAATGTCACTTTAGACAATTTTCTTTTTTTTTTTGCATCAAAATCAGCTTAATCCACTTTTTTTTTTTTTTTTTTTTTGCAAAACCTCTAAATCCACCTTTTAGAAAAAGACATTGTAATTAGTTAGAAATCACTAAAGATGCGATTACAAATTATTTTACCAAACATAAAACACATTTCACAAACCACCTAAAATCAAAAATACATAAATCAAGTTAGTGGCTGTTCATTCCGCTTTAATAAACCAGGGAAAAGCAGAAGGAAAATGAATGAAATCTGTCAAGTAAGTGCATTAATCAATAACAGACAATATTACAATTTGTTGTCATTTATCCCATATTCGGGATTTAGATTTGATGTAAGTAGAGCAATGTTGCAAACATTGTAAACTAAGCTTGGTAGATTCAAATAATGTAGTGTAAAACATTATGAAACATTATTATCTGTGCATTGTCCATTAATATAAAAAGCTTATTAGATGTAAAGGTATTATGAAGATATACAAATATTGTATAGTTTTAAATATTATATTTATCTTTTTAAAAATAGCTTAAATTAACAAACTGAACACAAGGTAGGCCTACTGGGCAAAAAGAGGATGTCTCTCTGATAATTTTAGAAGCTGTCATTCATTCTCACCATACTTAAGGTCTTCGTATCTTGTTTATCCTCATAGCATCCACGTGGGATAAAGGAATGGCATTTTTACTCTGTCTTTTGTGAAACACAGTTGCCGTTTAATGGATAGTGAATCAAACTCATTAGTAGCATTGCTGTGCAAAAAAAAAAAAAAAAAGTTATGAATGCATGCTATACTCCCGACTGTACAGTGTGTTTTTTTTTTTTCTTATCATGCAAAGAGGTTAGGGGATGTTTTCATTTGCCATTCACTGACAGTGGGATAGACTCATCCAGTTCATCAAACTCATAAATTGTTTGATAATAAAATGCTCTCCTCATAAAGCCGGTGTATCAGCACGCTACATTGAAAACATATGATTCGATTCGCACCTTCTGATTGGTTTTCGGGATATAGCTGCTTTTGCTGTCAAAGGCAAGTGGCGTTTAGAAGTCTTGGCCAACAAGCTGTTAATTCTAAATGAGCTGACCCTGGAGCTCAGATGATTTGAAGCAAATTTATTTGTTGAAAGTGTACCACGTGCCTAAAGCATTCACTTAATGTCATTAGCTCATTTTTGGCCGAAGTGGCGTTTTAGCGGCTTTTGCATCTGAACTCTTCATATCATTTCAGCACTGATATCACAATGTGATCATTCACATAGTCACATGGCGAGCATATGCATTCTTGAGTTTGTATTATAATTCATCATTTGAACGTGTTTTTAATACCTGTGATCACATAATGATTTTATTAGCATTCAGGTATAAGAAATTGTACCATTTGTGACCTTAACTACAATTACTTTTATTGAATCATTTTTATTTTCATCACTCAATTATTAAACCTGAATACTGTTAGACTCGGGAAATGATAAAACACTTAAATTGCATCCTTTTCTTGATTGTGATCAAAGATTGTTATGCATGAAAATACTTACAACACATGCAAAAACAGAAATGTACTGCAGATAGCACAAATCACAATGATTTGTCAAGGGACCACAAAAAATGTATAGATCGTTTATAAAATTTTATGGAGATGCAAATAGTAAACATTAATTGATGAATCCCTGATTAGACACATACATAAAAATACTCACAACACATGCAAATACAGAAATGTACTGCACATAGTACTGCAACAAAAAATGTGTCCACTAAAAAATAATAGATTGTTTATTAGATTTTATAGAGATGTACCCCTACTGCAGAATCATTACAATCGATCTAACATTATAAATGCTTTCCAAACAGAGATATTAAGTCATCTGGTGAATTTGTATGCATATTGCAAAATGTCAAAATATCATAATGTTAGATTTTTCCAATATCGTGCAGCCCTAATATATACTGTTCTTGCAATAAATTACATTTGAGTGGGAGTTTTATCTCATTCTGATGTCGGGACTTTTCTTTTGCTGATAATTTTATTTGGAGTAATTGGCATCAACAAGGATTAATCACTTGAAAAGTTTAAAAACCACTTTTTTAAAGTGAGGCAAAACAGCTATTACCACACACCATCACATAATTCAACAAATCTGAAATTTGTACTTTCTCATGTTTACGCTGTTTTCTTTCACCAAAAATGTTACCACTTCCTGGAGGATGATGTCATGGAACTGGTTTCTGTTAGTTACAGCGATATTGCAAAAGACTAACAGGATGGAGAGTAAAATCTAGAATGCATAAAAAAACAACAACTATAAAATCAGATTAGAACAATATTTTTAAATAATGTGTTTTCTTTGAACTGTTGTGATTAAAGGGGAAATACAGAAACATCTGGAGTATTTCTTAATAAATAGCCAAATTTTCTTGCTCTAATTTATACATGCAAAAAATCCAGCATCTGCAAGAGCACCAGAGTAATGAGATGATTTGAAATGGTTACCCAAATGGTATGGTAACACTTTATTTTAATGGTCGGTTTGAGTATTAGTAGACTGTCTGCTTAATATCTGTTGATACTGCTTCTTCAACAGACATTCAGCTGACTATAAGAAACTTTGCAAGTACATGTTAACTTACGCTAATCCCAACATACCAGTCTACTTATAATCTGATGAGACTTACTTGGCATGTAGATGCAATGTAACTTAAATTCAACGAACCATCAAAATAAAAGTGGAACCAATCTGATAATGTGCTAATTTATAAATGATAATAATACAAAAAAACACAGAAAATCATTTTAAATTAGTTATATTTTATCCAATATACAAAGTCCCATGTGATGAGACATAAAGTGAAGTAGGAGGTATGACCCGGTCATTTTTTGTGTCTGCCTTCTTGACTGAACGTCTGGGTAATGTTCAGAGGAGAAGTGATTGAATATCCAGATTAAAACTTCAAAGTATCCATAGTTTTTTCTCTTTCTTTCTTTCTCTGTGCGGTAATGAGGGTTCCAGGTGCAGCATGCAGGTGGCAGGACCATGAAGGTCTACAGGAAGATTGTCTGGAAAGACCTTCTCTCCTGTTTGGTATTTATTCGCCATGATATCATCATCTTCACCAGTCTCTCTTTGTGTCTTTTTTGTTTCCTCCACCTTTTTTTACCAGGGTGAAAGGTGTTCTTTCTCCATCCAGATGTGGCAGTATTTTCTCAGAGGCCTGCGCAGTGACCTCTGGGGCTCTGTTGGCCCCGTGCAGGCCCGGCAGACCTTGGCCCAGGTGTTGTGCGAGACCCTGGAGCTCTTAGTTCAGAGGTACTCAAGAGCACGACCCTCCTACAAAAGACTCTCCCAGATCAGGTAACGGGATAGTTTGAAAACACATTTGACGCACATAACATAGTTGCTTTATGTCTGTCTGTGTTGTAATGTAGACACGTATGTGCATCAAATATGTTGAGAAAAATATAACAATCATTCTGAAGCTTCTTTAAGGCTTGAATGTTTGACATCATATTTGATCAAGTCATCACCCTAAAAATATGATATTTTTAGTCGTTTTACAGCATATAAATCTATAGTTAGACTAACTCTATATCTAGACCACCCACAAAGGTTTCATTTTCACTATCACAAGCAGGAGAGAAGTCTTGCACTGAATATGCTGTTGTGAAAGATATACAGTCAGAATTATTAGTCCTCCTTCTTTTTTAATATTTCCCAAATGATGTTTAACAAAGCAAGGACATTTTCACAGTATGTCTGATAATATTGTTCCTTCTAGAGAAAGTCTTATTTGATTTATTTCAGCTAGAATAAAAGCAAATTAAAATTTTTTAAAAACTTTTTGAGGGCAAAAATGAAATGCATGCGGCCATTTTGACCGCTATGGTAGTTCGAGCTAGAAAAACACACAACTCTTTTGGGTTTTGTAATTTGAATTAAATAAATATGTTAGAAAGAAATATACACACATTTCGGAAATATCAGGGCATTATAGATATGTGTGTTTTGTTTCAACAAAGATATTAAATTGTAAAGAAATTTATTTTAAAAAAGGGTCAAAATTACTTGATTTGATGGATGCATTTGACCACGTAAATACATAAAAATACACACAATTTTAAATTCGCAAGCTGTTTGAGAGGCAGCTTTAGGTGCGCAGAGAGTTTTGTGTCTCCTTATACTTTAATGTTTAACCAAAATATGTGCAAATAGTAAACTTTATTAACAAGACTTGACCAAATAAAGTTGACCAACCTCCTGAATTATGAGAAAACACATGCTATTCTGCTCTGAAATTCAGGCCTTGCTAGCTTTACATACAACCTGTGGATGTTGTGTAACCAGGTAAAAAATGCAAGTTTTTTCCCATTTATTCAATATTTTTCTTCTGCTCATTCCATACCATGTACCCTTCACAAGTGCTATTCGATTGTTACATCATTGCATTGTGTTAATGCCGGAAACTGCCGCGCATGTTTAAAGTCCCCTGTCTGTGTCTTGTGGTGAGCGGTCACACTTAAGCACATTCTAACAGAGCGCAGTCATCCAAGCTGTCTGACTGAACAATCTTACCGTATTTCTGCACAAGCCCACCTTCTATCAGGAACCCCGGGCTTAGCAGACAGCGCTGAATGCTTTAGTGATTATACCGGTGTTCGGCCCCAGGGGTCAAAGCAGATCTCCAGATTTGTAGAACAGTCTCTCTTTGTTAGCACATGGCCCTGCCTCAGCGCCTGGCGGAGGGCCCGCTTCTTTCATGCTAGACCGGGCCCAACCGCCCGGGCCTTGTGCGTAGCATTAACACATACTTAAAGTGGTTAAAGATGCCACAAGAGCACACTTCCCCTCCACTCTAGGACTGATGAGAAAGAGCAGATCGCCCAGGGCCGAAGGGAAGGGCTTTTGTTTCAGCAGATGAGCTTTTGCTGCAAGGACACCCGGTGATGAGCTCTTCAGTGTCGGGTGAGCTCGGGGTCTGCCAAGCAGATGGGCTCTCCTGTTTTTTTTCGCTGTTATCTGCTGAAAGGGGAACTTTTTCGCTGTGCTGTAAAGCAGAACATGGTGGTAGGTGATGAAAAGTTGAGTTTGATAGGGAAACCAAATCGGAGAGATCGACCTCACTGTCTGCTCTGTCTTAGAGTGCACAATACACACATTCTGTGGTTTAAATTGAGAAGGACATGCACGTGTTTGAGCTTACTTTTCTGATTAATGTGTAATGGAAAAGAAGAGATGAATGAGACTGTTAAATGTTACGATATTTGTTAGTGGTTGGTTAAAGGATATTTAATTGTGCATGCTACATTTCTGTATTTTGAAATGTGCATTACTTTATAAAAGTTGGATCATTCATTCGTTCGTTCAATTATTTATTTATTTATTAAATAAGGTTGCCTAAGGTTGATCAAACCTGTCAGTAATTATATTTCAGGTATTATTTAAATTTTAAATACTTTTTTAATACCTTTTGTAAGCTTAAAACAGTACCTGAACAGCACATTAACAAAATAAAATGATTTATGTAAGATTATGTTGCACCGAAGACTGAAGTAATAATGCAGAAAATTTGCATTAAATTACAAAGAATGGTCTGCATTTGTAAAAATAGATGTTTTAAATTGTAAAAACTTTGCTGAGCATAATATTGTTCATAATAAATGATTGCATTTTCCACAAAATAGCATTGAGTTTGAAAATGATTTGTCAAATTATACAGTATAATGTAGTTATTTCATTAGATGAATCTTAAACCCTTTGATATTGTTGCTCTAAAATAAGATGACAAACCCAAATATGGACAAACACAACTGTTGGGAAAAAAATATTATAACATAACATAGCATAGCACAACATATAACTTAACATAATATATAAGATAGCATAGCATAATATAAAATATAGTAACATAACATATAACAGCATAGCATAACATAGAATAGCATAACATAACACAACATGTAATATAACGTAACGTAACATAACATATGGCATAGCATAACATAACATAACACAACATACAACATAACGTGACATAAAATATAACATAGCATAACATAACACAACGTATAGCATAACGTAACATAACATATAGCATAGCATAACATAACACAACATAAAACATAACGTAACATAAAATATAACGTAGAATGACTTACCATAACACAACGTATAGCATAACGTAACATACCATATAGCATAGCATAACAAAACAACATATAACACGACGTAACGTAACATATAACATAACATAGCATAACATAACACAACACAAAATATAACATAACGTAACATACCATATACTGTAACATAACATAGCATAACATAACAACACAACATATAACGTAACATAACACAAAATATAACATAATGTAACATTATATACAACGTAGCATAGCATACCATAACAACACAACATATAATGTAACATAACATAATATAACAACACAACATATAACATAACGTAACACAACATAATACATAACGTTACATAACATATAACGTTGCATAACGTAACATAACACAACATATAACATAACGTTGCATAACATATAACATTAAAAACAATATTTTGATTAATATGTTTTTTAAGAACAAAATTTTATCAAATTTTGACAGATTATTTCTTAAATCTTTTTTGCTTATCTAGAAAATGCTTGATATACATAACATAACATAACATAACATAAAGTTAAAACAAATTGAATCTCAGACCTAAAAGAAAGTGACTGTCATAAAGTTTTTGAATTTGGTTAGATAACTAAGTAAATAACAATATAAAAATAATAAGAATAATAAGTTGAATAATAAGCTGTAATGTTATATCAGTGTTATACATTCAGTAAGAAGAACACAGTGAGCCAGCATAGTAAATTTGGTTCATGAGTATTCAAATGTTTGGGTGTAAAGGGTCAAATATGGCCATAATGCAGTGCAGCTCTGTCAATTACTGTAGCACTTATTACACACACTCTAAAATAACAACAACAACAACAACAACAAAAGATTTTTTAAACCCAAGTTTGAATATAAAATAGAGGCAAAGCAAACAGTTTGGTTAAAGTTTGAGTTATAAATTTAATTAAACACAGGAGTTAAATTTTCAGAACTTTTCCCAAGTTTGTCTTCAAATAACATTCTTTGTGCACAAAATCATATCACTCTTTTTTTTTTTTTTTTTTTTGCTAGAAAACTTTGGTTAGGACAGAGTGTAACAGTGCTGCTGGGTTGTTCCTAATATGTGGTGTTTGATTGCCTCCTCCAGGGTTGATATCACAGCTCTTCTGCAGTGTGTGGAGCATCTGATGTGGAGTGTGTGTGACTCTGCGGAGGAGCTGCTGAGGCCTGATGGAGCTCCAGGATCTCGGATTTACTGCATACACAGCCTGTGTAACCAACTGCTGACCATACTGATCATCCTTACATCACCTCTAGCAGAGCTGCACAGGTGACACAACCGTCAAGAGGAACTTTTGGGTTATTGTGAACTAGAGGGATAGGATTAGCTCCTTGATAAGGCTGTGTTTTTCTCTTTATATATGTTTTTTGCTCTCTCCAGGGTTTTCCCTGCAGGCTGTGGTAGTAGAGGTGATGGAAGCAGATCTGTAAAGTTTTCAGAAGGAATGAGCAGCCAGGACACAAAGTGGCTAAGCGTAATAAACCCCACACTGTTCACACAGGAGCTGCTGAGGTACAGTTGATATTATTAACTCATTAATACTACCAGAACTTTTTGATCATTTCAATTACTCTTCCATGTGGATTGCTAAATATTAAAATATATAGAGATATAAATAAATGTTGAGATATATATATAAAAAAAAAAAAAATATATATATATATATATATATATATATATATATATATATATATATATATATATATATATATATATATATATATATATACATATATACTTTTATAATAAAATAAACATATTTATTGCTGTGTTTGATACAAAACCACAGTTTATTTACTTTACATAGTTTCACTTGTGCATATTTAGAAAAAAATAAATTTGATTAGAAGCAAAAGCATTTTTAAAATATATATTTTAATATATATATATACTGTATAAATAAATTACAGAACAAACATCCAGATTTTTTTTCTTCCTTTTGAAAGTAATTAAAAGCATGTATTATGCTTTTAAATAACATTTTTTATTGGCAAGTTTCATAGAACTTATGCTACTTTTTAGTTTTATTTTTTACTTATGATACATATTTGTGCTACATGCTGTTAAAATAGTAAAAAAAAAAAAAAAAAAAAAAATATATATATATATATATATATATATATATATATATATATATATATATATATATATATATATATATTTGTGTATCATGAGTAAAAAATAAAACTAAAAATATATATACTTAGAGTTAGGGCTTCTGTAGCAGGACAATGATCCAAAGCAAGTTCAATTCTGAATGGCTGCAGAAAAAAAAACTAAATTAAGACTTTGGAGTGGCCTAGTCAAAGTCCTGATCTAAATCCAATTGAGATGCTGTGACCTTAAAAAGGTGATTTATGCTCGAAAACCCTCTAGTGTGGCTGAATCACTGCAATTCTACAAAGAAGAGTGGGACAAAATTCATCCACAGCACTATGACAGACAGTTATCAAAAAAGTTTGATTGCAGTTGTTACTTCTAAGGTAATTAATTGCAGTTATTGGGTTCAGGGGACAAACACTTCATTCACTTCACTTCAACACTTTCACACGGGGCTATTTAGTTTAGTATTTTGTTATCCCTTAATAATAAAAACCTTCATTAACCTTTCATAATTGCGCTGGCAACATATGAAATGGCAATAATATAAACAATAAAACACACAGGGCTCTATTTATCGAGCTAAGCGCAAAGTCTAAAGAGTATGGTGCAAATGCATTAAATGCAATTCCAAATCAACTTTTGCTATTTTAAAGACGAAAAATATGCTCTGCGCCTCGGCGCATGGTCTAACAGGGTGTGCTTATTCTCTTAATGAGTTGTGGGTGTGTTTTGAGAATAACATACATTAAACCAATCACAGTCTTATCCATATTCCCTTTAAGAGTCACGCCGTGGCACATTTGCTATTTACATGGTGGACTTTGTTACAGGAAAAACTGAATGCCACACAATCAAGAAAATAGTTAAACTGAGCATCTGCAGTGTGAGGATAAAAACAAGCCTTCTCCATTTAAAATCTAATTTCCAGCAAACGAATGAATAGACAATAATAATGAAGTGTGGTCAAAAAACTGAGTTATATTCAAACACACGTCCTGTTCTTATGCCCCATATGGTGATGCATACTTCTCGAAAACCTGACAGGTGGACAAATCTAAACTTGTTTTTATTAAAACAAATATAAATATGCATATAATAAATTACACGGCTAGTAGTAATAACATTATAGAAATGCAAATTGTCATGAATAAACTGAAAAAAAAAACAACATAAAAGGACATGGAGGTAGTGGTTTTATATTTATGTAGAAAATAATAATGTTCGTAACATTTTAATCCTTTAATTGTTTTCATATGTAAAGATAGTTGTGAATTGCTGCACATCTTGTGTGTCCTAAGCAATGTGTAAGAATTTTGGACCTGCATAGGCTAATAACTAATATGCTCTGCACTGGACTTTAGACCAGCTTTCAGTTGGTCAATGGCGCAGTCTATTTCAGTTCCTCAAAAAAGCAATGTGCTAACAATGCACCTTAACGAACCTCCTTTCTAGACCAGAACACCGATGAGTCCACAAAGTGGCAAAAAGGGATTTACTATTTAAACAACATGGCACAAAACGTGAAAATTAGGGTTACGCTAGTCTGAAAATGGCAACAAATCGCACCAAACACGTCTTGTGCCTTATTTTGCTGGGTGTATGACAGGGCCCCATAGGTTCTTCTTATTAATATATTTTTAATGAGTAGCAATTGTATGTTTTTATTGCTATTATTTATTTTTTGTTTTTTTTCTGTTTTATTTGACAGTGCATAAATTAAATAATAACCTTTCAGATTACAAAATCATTCACACTCACACACATTTTCAAATTAATTGATGTGTTAATTGTATATTTTTGTTGATGTTTGTTTATTTAACCAAATAAAATAATATCTTCCAAAATTTAAATCAATTAAATTATTTACTTTTAAAGTGACATTCAACTCATGAAAAGTAGCAAATGTTTGGTAATTACATAAATAATGTTTAATTGATGCTACTTACGTTTTTGAGAATTTTTTTTTATTCATAACAATTTAATTTATTAAGCGACACAGTGACTCAGTGGTCGGCACTGTCACCTCACAACAAGAAGGTCACTGGTTTGAATCCAGGCTGGGCCAGTTGGCATTTCTTTGTGGCGTTTGCATGTTCTCCTCGTGTTGGCGTGGGTTTCTTCTGGGTGCTCCACAGTTATGGTATAGATTGAATAAACTAAATTGGCCATAGTGTATTTGTATCCATGTGAGAGTGTATGGGTATTTCCTAGTGCTGGGCTGCAGCTGGAAGGGTATCCTCTGTGTAAAACATATGCTGGATAAGTTGATGGTTCATTCTGCTGTGGCGACCCATGATGAACAAAGGAACTAAGCTGAAGAAAAATTAATGCATGAATGAATCTCATTCATTCATTTTCTTGTCGGCTTAGTCCCTTTATTAATCCGGGGTCGCCACAGCGGAATGGACCGCCAACTTATCCAGAAAGTTTTTTTTACGCAGCGGATGCCCTTCCAGCCACATGCCATATCTGGGAAACATCCACACACACATTCACACACACACTCATACACTACGGACAATTTAGTCTAACCAATTCACCTGTACCGCATGTCTTTGGACTGTGGGGGAAACCAGAGCACCCGGAGGAAACCCACGCAAAGACAGGGAGAACATGCAAACTCCACACAGAAACACCAACTGAGCCGAGGTTTGAACCAGCGACCTTCTACCTACTGCGCCACTGCCTCGCCTATGAATGAATCTAATTTATATAAATTCAAATGTTAATATTAATAATGCTGCTTATTTTTTTCTTTAAAATGATTTTTAAAGCCTCTAAATAGTTAAATTCTAATTGCATAATAGTAAAAAAGAAAATGGCACTTGTAACACATTACACCCAAGACTGCATGTGAGACACAATAAAACTTCAGTTTACTCTCTACCTTTATTGCTGAGCTCATGGTTTCATTACACACACACACACACACACACACACACACACACACACACACACACACACACACACACAAAGACATAACTCACATAATAAAGCGAGTTGCTGCTTCAGCTCACCCAAATGAGTCAAGCGTGGCCTTTCAGTTTTCCTTCATGCGTTAGATGCGCACAAACACTGTTAATACACTCCTGCATTCGCCAGACCCCCAGACTCACAGGCCTAATGCAGGCCAGATGCAGATGCCACAGTTAGTCATGCTGTTTATGCTGACATGCGCCGCGGGTCTTCAGCCCGGGTGTGAAAGTCTGAAACGGAGCCTGTAGGAGGACTGTGAAGCCACGCAGAATGTCAGGCACATCTCACATCACCCTCCTCAAGCCCCAAACTCAGCTCCAGACTCCCACTCCAGCGTGATTTCATCGCGTGTCCCGCTCGCACAAATCACCCATCGTCAGCCCTTCCGTGAAGTCCAAGGGATTTAAATTAGTGCCTTTTTATTGCCTGTTCCAATTTTTATTTATTTATTTAGCCTCGCTGCGTTCACGACTCCCTGAGGGTCTCGCGGTGAGGGCCCCACCAGAGCCGTGAGGCCATGCACCAAAACCAGACCCCATCTCCTCGCTCGAACACTCCAGAAAACTGACAGCTTGGATTATTAAATAAAAAAGCAATAAAGGAGACGAGATATAGCTATAAATCAGAGAGCGTTATGTACACTTTTGAGTTTCTGAGATGGAGATGAACAGCGAAACCTGAGCTTGTGGTGTAGTTTACAGATTTATCGTGACTGTTAAAGTGGGATATTGGGTGGATTACCAGTGCTTTGACATGACAAATCTGGTGTCTATCTAAAGTATAATGTTCACTTTTTATAGCAGAGCTTTAGTTGTCTTATATTTTGTGTCTGTTTGGGTTTTAAATAGTTGCTCTTCACAAAGGTCAGAAATAAATAATCGTAGTTAGTGATGTTTGCTATGGTTATCAGGGCTAATTTTACTACCATAGGTGTGATCGCAGACATTTTTATGTCTTTATTTAGGTCAGAGATGCCCAAAGTGGGGCCCGCGGGGCCAAAGTTGGAGTCACCAATATGGAGTCAACAGCATGTAAGCAGGAATCCATCTAGCCTTGTATAAACGGTTCAGGCTGGTTGTATAATGATTTGGGGCATATTTTCTTGGCACACTTTGGGCTCTTTAGTACAAATTGAGCTTTATTTGAATGCAGAATGCTACAGCATTCACAAAATCTCTGAGAAATATTAATATTAAGGATTAAGGCAGTACATTATGATCATTTGCTTATAGTTGTTAATGAGGCTTTGAAGAATAGAATTATTGCTCCATCTTCGCAACTATAGATAACACACATGTTGCACAAATTAGTTTTTTTGTTTGCAAGGGCTATTACTCTTTCTTCAGATGGTGTATGAGCACAATGAAGAGCACATGACACTTTGTTCTTTGTGACAAAGCTGTTGTTCTGCAGCGTTCATTTGAATGAAGATGAGATGTCCTTGATTCCTAACATTTTTCATCTCACCAATGCCTTTTACAGAGGAAATACATTGTAATACAATGCGCCTTCAGACTTAATCCAGCTCCAGTCACCTTGTTTATCTTTTGTGAGCACCCTTGAATAGATTGCTGGTAAAAAAAATGATGGTTAGTTGAACGGTTGGCATTTTAGATTATGCAGTGTTTATTCTTCAACAGAACCGAGCAGAATGAGAGGACCTCAGTACATATTTGCATATTTGCATACTATACATATTTGCTTTATTTGTACATTGTTTCGTTTAATGTAACATTGTATATATATATATATATATATATATATATATATATATATATATATATATATATATAAATATACAATGTGTGTGTGTGTGTGTGTGTGTGTGCGTGCGTGCGTGTGTGTGTGTGCATGTATGCGCCTGTGTGTATATGAAACCTATAACACAACAAATAATGCAATAAAATATTATGCAGCTCAAATGCAATTTAATTTTGCACTTACACGATTAAGTAGCATTTGAAAATATATTCCATTAAAAAATATTTTTAAATGATTATGTTTCACTATAATGTACTGTTTTTACATATATATTATTTATATATATATATATATATATATATATATATATATATATATATATATATATGTATATATAGACTAAATAAATACAAGACTAAATAAAAATAAATACAGCACAGAATATAGTTAATATGAAAACTTTATATAAATAATTCAAACCCAAAACATTTCATCAGCAGTTTGAGTTTGATCAATTAATCAACATATCATGTATTAATGAATTCCAAATACATGTACTCAACTGATCTATGATTTCTGTTTTTTTAAAGGGATTTTTCATCATCTGAAGGATCTTCTTTGTGTCTGTTGGAGTTACTGGTTTCTGGACCTGGCTTTAATCCAGCTCTACTCCTGCAGACCATCCTTCACAAAGACTGTTTACTGCTGCAGATCATCATCTCATACTCATGTAAGACTCTTGATAAGACTATATATTGAAATCCATAAACTGCTTGTTATTAGTGACACTAGAGGCCAATATGTGATATAATTTTTTGTGCTTGCGCTCATGTTTCATACAGAATATAATGTACTGTATAGATCTGGCTATATGAGGTTAGTTGGCAATGCTTAAAAAATAGTATGTATTGCATGTGTCAGTGGATGCATAATAAGCACATCACATAATTTAGATTATCCTTCACATAAAAACATCTATTTTTAAAAAGGTCTAAGTTAATGTTTACGGTTAATAACAAACTTTGTGAATTGGTCAAAATATAATTTTGATATTATTTCATTTCTTTTAAGTCATTATTACCATTTTTGCTACAAAATACCATTATTATTATTAACAATAATATTAATAATAATAATAATAATAATAATAATAATAATAATAATAATAACAACAACAACAACAACAACAACAATAATAATATGAATACTACTACTACTACTACTACTACTACTACTACTAATAATAATAATAATAACAGCAACAATAACAACAATAATAATAACAAAAAAAAGCAGTAGGTAGTGCTGTCGCCTCACAGCAAGAAGGTCACTGAGTCGCTGGTTCGAGCCTCGGCTCAGTTGCCGTTTCTGTGTGGAGTTTGCATATTCTCCCTGCGTTCACATTGGTTTCTCCGGGTGCTCCCGTTTCCACCACAGTCTAAAGACATCCGGTACAGGTGAATTGGTTAGGCTAAATTGTCCGTATTGTATGAGTGTGAATGTGTGCGTGGATGTTTCCCAGAGATGGGTTGCGACTGGAGGGGCATCCTCTAAGGGTCTAATAACTGATTTATTTTATCTTTGCCATGATGACAGTAAATACTATTTTACTAGATCTTTTTCAAGACACTTTTATACAGCTTAAAGTGACATTTAAAGGCTTAACTAGGTTAATTAGGTTATCTAGGCAGGTTAGGGCGATTAGACAAGTTATTGTATAATGATGGTTAGTTTTGTAGACTGTCGAAAAAAAAAATTGCTTAAAGGGGCTAATAATTTTGTCCCTAAAATGTATTTTAAAAAATTAAAACCTGCTTTTATTCTAGCCAAAATAAAACAAATAAGACTTTTTCCAGAAGATTAAATATTATCAGACATATTGTGAAAATTTCCTTGCTCTGTTAAACATCTAGGAAATATTTAATAAAGAAAAAAAAAATTCAAAGGGGGGCTAATAATTCTGACTTCAACTGTACATACATACATAAATACGTTTTGACACACTGGTGGTGGTGAGGTGAAACCACCGGGTGTGCAGCAATGCAGATTACTTGTGCTATATGAATTCATTCATTAATTCATTGGCAATTATAATAATTAGCATTATTAATACATCACACTACGTATAGTTTTTATTCTCTTTAACTCTTCTTATTGACTGAAACATTCTGCAAATTTTCGGCAAGGAATATAGTTTGGTTGGTCTGTTAAACTGTTTCTTTATTTCTTCATTTCCACATGTGCTGGAGTCTGATGTAGGTTTCATCAGTGCCTAACAGAAGAGGTTATGAGGAGACGCTCATTAAAGCACATCAATGCTTTCATTGGTTTCTACAAATGAATGTAGTGTGCTTTATTGGTGGAAAGACTGATTAGTATGGATGGCCTGGTGACCTTGCTGCTCTTAATAGCCTGCACCTGTTTTTAATGGCTCTTCCTTTCACACGTCTCCTCTTATTTTCAATAGGCTGTTGTTCACTAAATAACATATTACAAGATGATATAATATTACTCAAGTCACACAAAACCTGTAGAGAGCAACCATGCTGAATCCTTTCAGTTTTGAAAAAATAAGCTATAGAAAATAATAACTGCTAGCAGAGGTCGGTAGAGTATCTAAAATCTATACTCAAAGTACAAATACTTGCGGAAATTTTTACTCAAGTAAAAGCAAAAGTAACAATCTTAAAAGTTACACGAGTAAAAAAGTATCTGATGAAACAATTACTCCAGTAAATAGTTACTAGTTACTTTTCATTATTTCATTATATGTATATATTTATTTTTCCTATATAAATAAATATATATATATATATATATATATATATATATATATATATATATATATATATTTTTTTTTTTTTTTTTTTTTTTTTTTTCTGGAGAAACTCTTACTTGTTTTATATCAGCTAAAACAAAAATAGTTTGTAATGTTTTAAAAAAACATTTTATGGTCAAAACTATTAGCCCCCTTAAGCAATATTTCTTTTGATTGTCTACAGAATAAACCATCATTAATTACACTAACTTGTTGAATTAACCTGGTTAAGCCTTCAAATGTCTCTTAAAAATTGTCACCTTAGAATTATAGGGTTTTATCTGCATTCTGAATGATTTAGAGATTTTTTGCTTCAAAGTATTTCCATTCCATATAGCAAAAAATATGTGTGTCACATTTGTTTTTTAAATGAAAAGTCTTAAAATATAAACAACTTATAAAAAAAAACACCCCATAATGTAAATAAGTTGTCATTCAATAGGAATATGTCAATAACTCAGATTCAATATGTCAGATACCTTATAACTTTAATGTGACGAAACATCAAGTATCTTGAAAAATATCTAGTCAAATAATATTTACTGTTATCATGGCAAAGATAAAAGAAATCAGTTATTAGAACTGAGATATTAATTCTATAGAAATGTGTTGATAGTATCTTTCTGTTAAAGCATTTGTGTGCCATTTGTTGTGCCATATCACCCTGCAGCCCAAGACCGGTTACTCGCTGAAACTAAGCAGGGCTGAGCCTGGTCAGTACCTGGATAGGAGACCACTAGGGAACACTAGGTTGCTGTTGGAAGTGGTGTTAGTGAGGCCAGCAGGGGGTGCTCAACCTGTGGTCTGCGTGAGTCCTAATGCCCCAGTAAAAGTGAAGGGGACACTACACTGTCTGTGGGCGCCGTCTTTCGGATGAGACGTAAAACCGAGGTCCTGACTCTCTGTGGTCATTAAAAATCCCATGGCACTTCTCGTAAAAGAGCAGGGGTGTAACCCCGGTGTCCTGGCCAAAGTCCCTCTATCGGCCCTTACAATCATGGCCTCCCAATCATCCCCATCCACCGAATTGGCTCTATCACGGTCACTTCACTCCACCAATAGCTAGTGTGTGGTGAGCGCACTGGCGCCGTTGTCCTGTGGCAGCTACGTGTTTTTTTTCTGGTCGGAGCTGTCATTCATGCATACAGTATGTTGCGATGTCAGTGTGATGCGTGCATCGGATTATGAAACTATCCTTGTTGACATCTTGGAGTAAAAACATAGACTGAACTTGAGGCTGTGGGAGACCTGGTCCAATAAACTCACTGCACGGACCGTCTTTCTCGGAACCACAGATGGCGAGCGGGACCACAGTATAAACTCGCATGTCTTCCTAGACTACAGCCATCATTCCAACAGGCGCACGCTCTAAACGAAAGTGGGAGACACGTTTCTATAGCAACCTCGCGCTACACAATCTCTCCAATGCGGCACCTCACGATATTTGCATACCAGATATATGGATCATATTCAATATAATTTGGCAGTAACGAAGGAACGCCGCTAAATATAGCAAAGTAAAAGTAATGATCTCTAATAATTAACTTGAGTAAGAGTAAAAGTACACAATTTTAAATGTACTCAAAAAGTACTTGTTACCCAATAATTTTACTCAAGTAAATGTAACAAAGTAAATGTAACTCGTTACTACCCACCTCTAATTGCTAGTCTAAAATTTGACATTTCTCTTTGCTAATAGTAAATGCTAACTGAGGTCTTGAGAGTTTCGTCTCAATCAGACTCATTTGATGCTTGCTATTTTATTACCATGGATTTAAAATAACCCAGGCTTATTCTGAAAACGTAGTCCCGTGGACGTTTCTGGAGACCGTGAAATACGTCCCGGGAGATACGTATTTTTGCAGTTTTTGTTTTCACGAATCCTCAAGAGGCCGCTCTGTGTGCTTTTTTGCTTCTCAAATGTCTCTCGCGAGTGCAGTTCGCGCCAGAGGCCGTCGTCGACCGACTAAATAATTGACTGTGCGACCGGCCAGTCGTCTGACCCACTCTTCTCCTTCCCTAAACCCAACCAATTTTACAGATTGACCTGCCCGCCCGCTTCCCTAAATCCAACCAAAGGTTTACAAAAGCTGTCCAGAAAAAAAGGCCTTTGTCTGATTTTTACCACGATTTCGGATTTTACCACATTCTCACCCTATTGTTCACTTAACTTTTTTGGATTCTGTTTTTGTCTTAACTGATTTTCTGATTTTATTTTTAAAAAAGTGAAATGCAGCCATACCTACCTCCGACTACATAATTTGTGGTCTCCAGAAACGTCTGCATGACTATGTTTTCAGAAGCCTGTGTTGAATTAAAAGGTTCTATAAGAACTTTTTGGTCAAAGTTAAGTTGTCAATCATTTGATTTTTTTATTTGTTATGTATACACAATTCAACCTTTTTTATTTACAAAGTTAAACTCTATCTTGGTATTATGTTGTTGTTTTTTTAAGATACAATCAGCATGTTAAATGCTCACATAGAGCCCAATAAGGACCTTCTTAGAGGCAAGAGCAGTGATGTAATTTACATTTTTAAAGCAGAGCTCCTTAACATTTTACCTTTTTGATAATAATCACTCGATCAATGTAATGAATGAAAGGCATTTATAGTCTTCATTGTTGATGAAAACAGAATTGTTGTATAGCCTAAATCGTTTAACATTTTATATGTTAAATATATAGTTGGTGAAATATTTCTTGTTGGTTAGTAATGTGAAACAATTTTGCTGAAGCATTGTTTTGTAGCATTTTTAAAGTCTTAACTGTTTTACATTACAATATTACAGTCATTGATTTCTGTCTAAGCCATCATTCTATCTAAAATTCAGCATCAGTATGTGACAAAATATTTAATATATTACTGGCTTTTACTCTTAAATTGAAGTTTCTCATACAAAGTAATGCTGCG